GTCTGCCTCAACTTTTGTCGGGTAACTCTTCTCTTCCCCTCCGAGACGGCGACTTTGGGATGGTCTCTTGCTGTCCACCTTCGGACGATCAACTTCCGGCCACATCGTCGGACCTGCGCTGTTTGCGATCCGACCGGACTGCTCCACTGAAGTCCAAACATCGCGGTTTTCTCCGCCCCCATATGGGCATCCGTACCCTCTCGACTGGGCCTTCAGCCTCCATTTTGGCTTCAGCCGCCACAGTTTGTCGCACGGCGAGTATTTGGTCAAGTTGTCCGGGGCAACTGTGAACGCCGAGCAGATGTCAGATCCGTCGGCCCAGTCCAATGATCTCGACTTCATTTGATGCTCCTCTTGCAGTTGGCTCAGATTGCAGCCCATCGCAGATCGCTTCGTCAGCTCGACTCACAAATGAAGATGTCACACATAAATCTACAGAAGATTGCCAGTCGACGTGGGCAGCACAAAGTGTTGGTCTATGACGAATGGGCCAGCGGTTGTCAGATGAGTTGTTCACGCATGAGGAGGCATAGGATCGGGGCAGAGGTGAATCGTGCAATCCTGCTGAGCCAGTGTGGGACTGGGGCGTGTGAAGTTGTAGACAGTGGGAATGAGTCAATCGGCGACGTGGCCAGCAGTTACGGGAGCCGACCTGTCCCTTGCGTTGGGGCTCGTGATGGGCTCTGTTGGTCTGTAGGCCGTACGGCATTGGCGATGAGGACAAGAGGAGGAAGTGATAGACCGCCCAGTGGGACTTCACTTGTCTGCAATGTCTCTGTTTGAGACGATCTACTCTGACGGATGGCCAATTAAAGTTGAAGGCACTCGCGTCACCTGAACCAGCATAATACACGCCTCTCTCTCACCGACGCCGTCGCCCTCGCCCTCGCCCTCGCCCTCGACTTTGCACTCCTTTTACACATCGCTTTTTCCTTCGCCCTCGCCCTCGCCCTCGCCCTCACCCTCGCCCATGCTCTTGCTTTCGCTTTCGCTTTCGCATTTGTTTTCACCCTCGCTCTTGCTTTCACATTCATCCTCTCTTTCGCCCACGCTCTCACTCTCGATCTCGCTTTCAACTTTGTCTCCAACATCAACCTCGCCCTCGCCCTCGCCCATGCTCTTGCTTTCGCTTTTGCATTTGTTTTCACCCTCGCTCTCGCTTTCACCTTCATCCCCTCTTTCGCCCACGCTCTCACCCTCGATCTCACTTTCAACTTTGCCTCCAATTAAAAACTTGCAATCGCCCTCGCCCTCGCCTTTACATTCATCCTATCTTCGCACTGGCTCTCATCCTCGCTCTCACTCCCTAATTCACCATTGCTTTCGCTTTCAATTGCGCCTCCAACCTCAACTTCAGCATCGCCCTCGCCTTCGCCTTCACCTTAACCTTCATCCTCTCTTTAGCCCACGCCCTTACCATCGCTCTCACTCCCAAACTTAATTTCGCTCTCGCTTTAACTTTGCCTCCAACCTTAACCTCGCCTTCGCCTTCACCTTCATCCTCTCTTTAGCCCACGCTCTCACCCTCGCTCTCGCTTTTAACTTTGTCTCCAACCTCAACCTCGGCCTCGCCTTCACCTTGATCCTCTCTTTAACCCACGCTCTTACCCTCGCTCTCGCTTTCAACTTTGCCTCCAACCTTGACCT